TTATATATATATTATTATATTTATATATATATTATTATATTTATATATATATTATTATATTTATACTGTATATATATATTATTATATTTATACTGTATATATATATTATTATATTTATACTGTATATATATATTATTATATTTATACTGTATATATATATTATTATATTTATACTGTTATATTATATTATTATTTTATACTGTAATAATATAATTATTATATTATACTGTGTATATTATTTTATAGTATTTATTTATTTATTTTATTTATAAAATGCCATAGCTAGCTGTAAGCTCTTTATATATATTATATAATTGTTATAAATTTCTATGTAATACAACAAATTTAAAATTAAGTATAGTATAATATATATAATATATATATATGATATAATATATACTATTTATTCTGTTAAGGTAAATAACAGTATAATAAAGTGATTTATATATTATTATATTTTTAGATGTTGCTGCAAATGAATTCTGATCTTGATACTGATCGAAAAACACTTATGGACAATGTGTCACAACTGCTATCCCAATATCACGAATTGTTGTCACATTCATTAGAAGATAAGCAACATTTTCATGAAGAAGAAAAAAGTTACACCGAACGTGTTCATAATTTAAGCCGGCAGAAAGAAAAATTGGAGGAAAAAATAATGGAACATTATAAAAAATCTGAAAGCACAGTACCTAAGAAGTATGTAATTAACATTAATTATAATCAATTACACTATATTTATATATTTTTTATAATTATTATAGAAAACCATTTGCCAGTAGTTTAGTACGACGTGTAAAGAAAGCAAGTTCTGATCTAATGAATAAAGTGCCCAGCAGGGTTAGTAAAATTTAATAAATATTTTTTAACATAATTTCGTTTTCAAATAATCAATTTTTAATTTAGAATCGACGTTCTTGGGTGGATGATTCACGTCTTACTCAATCTCAATTTATAATAGGCTCTGAATCTGGTGGAAATGATTCCGATAACAGCACTGAAGAGCCTATGTCTATCGTATCTGATACACATCTTCTACAACGTAATATACCAATGCGTCAGAGTCTACAGCGGTAAGTAGTTTTACATTATAATGCGCACAGAAATCATTAAATATTCTTTTATTATCGCACAACATGTAAATTTTTTAACGTTTTTTTTTTATAAATTTCATAAATATACACAATTCAAAAAAAATGATATAAAATTGATATATAAAAATCAGTGATGCTAATAAGGATAATACAATTGTACGTGGTGGCGTGGTGCGGAGTAGTTTACAAGCACAGAAACGTACGGATTTAAATAATTCTCGTAGAAATAGTGTGCACGGGTAATTGCTATTATTATTTATATTTCTTATTATTTATATATTATATTAAAATTTAATTTTTTTTTTAATTATCATAATTAATTTTGTTTTTATCCTGGCATGTTGTTGGTTATATTTACAAAGTAAGATGACGTTAAAGTTCTGGAAATGTTTCATATGAAATTAAATCGGTAAAAAGTAGAAATTTTAAAGTTAATTTAAACTTTATACTATTATGTGTTGTTTAACAAGTATGTGTCTCCTTCCTGTGACTATCACATTTGTATATTGTCCGCTTCACTTTGCTTTTTTATTAGACATAAGTTAATCATACTTTGGTGTTAAATTACAGTTAATGCTATGTACTATATTGGAAAGAGTATGTTGTGAATTAAGTTTAATATTCAAACAATTAGTTGTTATTATTTAAACCAATTTAAACCAAATAAACACGTAGTGACTTCATTCTTTTAGTTGGCTACGTCCCTTTCATTGTTGCTTATATATTTGAAAACCACAACTCTAAGACAGCGATGCAAGAAATTAACAACAAATGTTAAACGAACACATACTATACATGTTTTCCTATTATTGTTGTTATAACCCGCTGGGACCTACTTGTGAAGTCCGTTTAGAGAGGTGTCGAAAGTTCGTCTCTGGCTCCAAAGACCTGTTTTCCTAACTTTGTCTGGAGGGATGCACAGCACTTGGTCATCTATGAAGACGGATAGTTCCCAAACGTAGAACCGGCTGCTCTTAGCACCGAAATGACGCCCTCCATATTTTTTCTTTCCCTAAAGCATGCATAAATTTGAACCCTATAGAATCTTGGCTCCGTGACAAGATTTCTTCACCTGGACCGAGGTTAAATTAAACACCTCTAACTTTTATCTTTCATCCTTGCTCCTTTTCATCTTCCCTTATTTTACCTTCTCCATACCTATCACATTACGTATTACCTTCCCTATTCTACACATTGTGTAGTCTTGTCAAACTTTTTTATTCTTATGTTTGAGGTTTTGTAATTTTTTTGATATGACTGTACATAAAAAAATTATTGTCAGTATGGGTAAGCAAGCAAAGCTAATTATATGCAACATACAAACAGCAATGCTCATCGACAAGCGCTAAGAACACATTCAAAGTTTTACTCAAACTTACATATACTGAAACTGCTGTAAATAGTTGACTCAATACCACACAAATATTCACTACAAAATCGATATTAAGGTTTATTTCTATGTGTTATCGTCAGAGATCAATTTGAAAATCCGACCCAGTTTAACCTAACCCAACGTTTTTTCACCTTAAGTTCCAAAAATAAAGGTAATGTCAGTAGCATATATCGATTTCAATTTTTGGAAAGCGATGACAATTTTACAATAGATTTGAATAGAGTCAACTATTTGAGTAAGTTTTTTTTCACCTCAATGTATACCGAACTTCTTGAAATATAGAGGTTTGAAGATGCAAGCTTTTATATTGATTAAACTAGTACAATTTACAAACACACGATTTATACATTGATTACACAAACAACATAAAAGTTGGAACATATATATTAGTTGGTAGTTTCTATGTAAAAATTTCCAACTTTAAAACCCATTATCTCAAAAGTGGGCTTTCGCATAATATGGTGAGTAAGTGAAACATTAGTTTCACTAAGGAATTGTTACTGTAGCAAGTACATGGGACGTGATATGGAGAGTGCTAAATGTTGTACATTTGTTGTACTGATGTATTGTTGTTATTATAGTAATCCGTTTTTTTATCAAGTCTCTATAAAGTGAAGAACCGCATATAGACGCCTGCGTTAATGTGTAGCTCAACATGGCTGTTTGCAACTTATGATATAGTTAACTTTATGGTGACAATACTTTGCGTTAACAATGTTTTCCATACTTTGCTTTGACGGTACTTTACGTTGACAATACACTGCATTGACAATACTTAGCGTTGATGGTACTTTACGTTGACAATAGTCTGCATTGCCAATACTTTGAGTTGACGGTACTTTGCGTTGACAATACTTTGCGTTGACAATATTGTGCGTTGACAATATTGTGCGTTGAAAATATTGTGTGTTGACAATATTGTGCGTTGACAACATTGTGCGTTGACAATATTGTGCGTTGACAATATTGTGCGTTGACAATATTGTGCGTTGACAATATTGTGCGTTGACAATATTGTGCGTTGACAATATTGTGCGTTGACAATATTGTGCGTTGACAATATTGTGCGTTGACAATATTGTGCGTTGACAATATTGTGCGTTGACAATATTGTGCGTTGACAATATTGTGCGTTGACAATATTGTG